GATTATCACCTAAGACAGGTATGTGTGACCCACTCAATTGGATGGACACCAAATCTTCAGACTCGAATGACAAATTCTACATCTCTGAATATGTGAGGAAGAGAGCGAATGACCATCTTTTGGGATCAATACTCATAACATTGAATAAAGAACAATATATCAAAAGATATTGCTACTCTAGTGAAAAGAACAAAGTAAAGAAAGAATAAAAGAGAAATATAAAACAAGAGAGAGAAAAGAGAAAACCCTATTTTATTTCAAGCAAAAGACAGAAGCTAAGTGTTTATTTTGACCTTCCACCTCAAACATGTAACACATACATCTTTCCACTCAGAAATCTATAGCACACACCTTTCCACACATTCCCTCACATTAAGGTTTTCATGTATCACCACATTATAATTTGTACTTGACCCTGTAGAGAATCTTTCCACTATGGAGTGGTAAACTTGGTCGTATCCTTTGATAACAAAATGTTTTATTTTTCTTTTAAATTTCGTACTACAACAATTTGTCCATAACACTAGATTGACATTCCTCCTGTCTTTTGAACAGGAGTGAGAGGTTTATCCCTGCTTTCCCTATTTAGTATTGGGATTCTAGTTCCTTCTAAAGTTTTTTCATTCTCTTTCACTCCCCCTTGCATTTTAGTGGCATTATCACCTTACTTGAGATAAAAGAAAAAAAAGTAAGAAAGAAAATGTACAGGTTATTAAGTCTGTAATATGGGCAAACAAAATAAAATACGAGACTTTATTTTTAAAGTGACCTTTATAGAATTGTCTGAAGTTGGCATTGTTTGATAGACATGGTCTGGGAAAATCTAAAATCTTAGGATGCTTAACATTTTGGTGCACCTTCTGTTTTCTAAGCTTTGATTTAAAAAGTATTTTGTTTTATATAAACATCCACTCACCTGACTTCATTACTCTTCGAGGGGCTTTTCTCCAATCAACAACTGCAATAAAAAAAAAATTTAAAAAAATGAAAACAAATGCTGTAATAAAAAATGTTATTAATTTTTTTTTACTAGTAATTATTTTCATCATTTTCTTTTCATTGGAAAAAGAAGCATTGCCAACCGTCCTATCATAATTGTCCTTATTCCTCCTTTCGTTACTTCGCATGACTTATGTCCTGCCAATACCTCATATATAATGCACAATTCCTTTATAATCATGTGGAAAGACATTACTTGATTTCAGTAAGAAAAAGTAGGAAAGAAGGAAGGAAAGACAGAAGGAAGGAAAGAAGGAAGGACAGAAGGAAGGAAAGAAGGAAGGAAAGAAGGAAAGACAGAAGGAAGGAAAGAAGGAAGGAAAGACGGAAGGAAGGAAAGACGGAAAGACGGAAGGAACGAAGGAAGGAAAGACGGAAGGAACGAAGGAAGGAACGAAAGACTGAAGGAAAGAAGGAAGGAACGAAAGACGGAAGGAAGGAAAGACGGAAGGAAAGACGGAAGGAAAGACGGAAGGAACGAAAGACGGAAGGAACGAAAGACGGAAGGAACGAAGGAAGGAAAGTGCTTAGTATCTCCTGCTAATACCTTCTAAATAAGAGACTATTTCATTTCAATAAGCAAAACATATTGGAGACGCCACTTGGGTTTAGTGAGAAAATAAATAAAAGAAAGTAACAAAGAAAGAAAAAGAAGATAAAATTGTTTAACGCCTGTTTTAGGTCAATGGAAAATGTCAATTTCAAATTTTTTTATTTGTATTCCCTTATTTCTTAAAATAATGACCAGTATCCATATTTATGATTTGTTATTGCAATGTTTTCTTAAAGCTGTTAAGCTTAAATATTTAATGCTGTGACAGGTGAATTTTTACAGATATTTTCTTGTCATAGAATTGCCATGAGCTTACTCAATCATTAACTAAAGAATTAAGATTCATCAGAAGATTCAAAAAAGAAAACCTTGAAATTTTCATGGGTCTTTCTAGTTATTATTATTATTATTATTATTATAATAAACCAAAGGTTGTTTGCCTTAAAATTATTATTTTTCATAAGTACCCTTTTTCAATCTTTTTTTTAGCTAAATACAATCTTTGTTACTTTTAAATATGCATGCGTATGTAAAAAAAAATATCAGGAATGCTGCTACGGTAACGGAGGTAAAGTTCACAGAATGAAGCCGCTAGTCACAGATTTACCTTGAACTCTGTCGTGCATGCGCACTAAGTTATAACACGCTCACTCACTTCCATTGTTAATGGCAATGCCTGGATTGAAAGTGTGTAGAGTGTGGTCGTTTCACCATGCCACAGAGGTTCCATCAATGACCATAGCTTCTGCAGCAGTTTTTGGCCAAGGATTACATTCCCCAGTTCCGACAACTACCATATTCTCCAGATCTCACCCCTTGAGACATTTTCCTCTTCAAAAATTAAATCTCACTTGGTTTCAATCAGAAAATGAAAGAAGGGAAAATAGAAGTGTTTAACGTCTGTTTCCATGAAATGGATAAAGTTGTTAATTTTAAATCTTTTCATTCGTACCCCCTTACTATTAAAATAACGACCAGCATTCATATTTATGATTGTTATTGCAATATTTTGTTAAAGTTAAGCTCAAATATTTAACAATGCGATAGGGGAATTTCAAACAGATATTTTATTGTCATAGAACTTGCTACAAGCTTACTCTATCATTAACCAAAAAATTAAGATTCATTAGAATTTAAAAAAAAATTTTCACTAGTCTTTTTAGCTATTATTAACTAGCAGCCATACCCAGCTAGTTGATCAGAAAAAGCGTTCAATTAGAATGAAGCAAAAACAGCATCATTTTTAGATGTAACAGAGTCTATCTTCAATTACTTTAAAGTACTTTCATTAAAAAACATTTTGAATTAATGCAGTTACTGATATATCAGTAGTCTGTATTTATTCAATTGAATTTAGCTGAGGTCATGAAGGGGTAAAACAGGCAACATGAACACCCACTTCAGACCATAATTATTTTGGAGTTTTGCAAATTCAATTTGTCAGTGTGCTACCAGGGATGTAAAAGAGGATACATTTATAAAGCAATTGATAAGTTTGAGGAAAATTGGTTGAAAGATCAATACCAAAAAAGAAATAAACCAGTAAAAATCACAATTTTCCGCTATTTATGTGGATTTTCACTATATAGGTGGACTCAATTATCAAGTTAAATGACTGTTAAACAATCAACTTATTGTTGGCTAAAATTGAGTGAAGTTTGTATTAGATTGCTTGAAAATTGAGGGAGTTTTTAGTTTAAAATTTGTGTTGAAATCGATTCATGACATAAGTAACCTACATACCGAGTTTGAAAGCAATTGGAGGAAAAAGTTGAATTTATCGATTTTTGATCAACTTCATAGATTATTGATGTTTTAAAAATTATCGATTTTTTTCTAAGAACCTATCTCTTATATTGTACAGTGTATGTGCCAAGTTTGGTCAAAATCGGTTAGATGGATCTCAATTGAAAAGGTATCACACAGACATTCTCTGTTTTATATAGAGAGATTTAGTAATTGTGGCTATTTTCTATCTGAATATCTTTCATGAAAATTCACTGTTTGCAATTAGACTAATATCCTCATCTTGATAAGCAAATTTCCTCAGGTTTTCTACACATTAAATTTGAAAATTTACTCACCTGGAGCTTTGTCAATTTGCCATGTGCAGGTGTAAACACAGCCATTGAAACAGCAACGTTTGTGTCTTTTACTTTTGCAATCAAGATCTGTTTTGCATTGGCGCTGATTGCAAGCACGTTTTGAATGTGATTTTAAAACAGGTGGACAGGTTTCTTGTGGTCTTGGCAAGGAATTCTCCTTCCCCATAGAATCAGCCTGATAGTCATAGTCAATCTGAAACACATAACAATTCTGTCAGTTAAATGCCAAAATGGTAATTCTTAGCCTCATTGCACAAGAGTTGATCCGAAAATCTGTGTTCTATAATTACAACAGATTTAGTAGTAGACAGACACAAAGTAGACGAAAATGAGCACAAAGGTCCCAGGATTCCAAATCTAATCCTCAATGCTATCTACTTCATCCTTAAGAATGGTATGAGGTCAATCAAAAAATAGTGCTCGTTTTTTGTTAATTGCAAAAAATTTAAATATTTAATCGTTGAAAGACAAAGTAAACTAAAATGAGCAAAAAAGTTCTAACTTTCAAATCTAGTGGTCAATACGATCTCCTTTAACAACTCAATCGTTTTATGAGGGTCAATCAAAAAATAATGCTTGTTTTTCTTTAATTACATGATATTTAATAGTAGAAGGACAAAAAGCAAACTAAAATGAGCACAAAAGGCCTCAGGATTTCAAATCTAGCCCTCAACACTCCTCAAATCTCCCGCCTCAATCATTGTATAAGGGTTAACAAAAAAAAAAAAAAAAAAAAGACACCCAAAAAAAACCATAAAAAAACCACAAAAAAAAATCCACAAAAACCACAAAAAAAAACAAAAAAACCCCCCAAAAAAAAACAAAAAAAAAACCCCAAAAAATGCTTGTTTTTCTTTACTAATAGATTTAATGGTAAAAGTACCCATACCAAAATGAACAAAAAAGTCTCTGGATTTCAAATCTAGTCATCAACACTATCACCTTCATCCTCAATTGTGACATGAAAGTAAAAAAAAATAATGAAAATAAAAAAAATGAAAAATTATGCTTTCTTCTTTTTTTTTTTCCAAATTACAACCGATTTAAAAGTAGACAGAGAGAAAGCAGACCAAAAGGATTTTTTGATTGATTTGTTTTTTATGGCTTATCAACCTTTTGTAGGTTATTTAAAGCCAGAAAATATTTTCAAATAAGATTTTTTTTGAGATTTTTTTTTAGTCAAATCCTACTATTTAACCAATAGCTGGGGGAAAAGAGGAGGAATCAAACTTTCCTCAGGGTATTTGTCATAAGTGAATATAACAAACTTGGCTGGAACTGGAACTAAACTCTCCAGTTTCCAATTTCAAGCCATTATCCATTATACCAATGATATAGCCAAGCTTACAGCATCTGGTATTCACAAGAGGTCACCCATCTAAATACTAACAAGGCTCAATGTTGCTTAACTTTGGTGACCATATGAGAACCAGTGTTTCAAGATATGGTTGTAAGCAATACCACGTACATGTCCAAGCTGACAACACCAAGCAGTCACTCATCTAGGTGCTCAATGTTGCTTAACCAGTAATCATACAAGAACTAGTGTTTCAATATGATATGGCCGTAAGCCCAGACCAAAAGAGGAGCACTAAAGTCCATTAGTTTCTCCTTTATCGTAAGGATTGCCATGATCAATCTGTTTACTGGGCTAACATCAAATGCAAACTTTCCAAAAGCGAGTGTTAAGGGATAAAACCATTTTGGAAAAGGATGATGGGTATGGAAAGAACCATTAAGGCCATAAATTATTTCCCTGGGCTCAGAGATACTTTATCGTTTATACTATTAATATAAAATATAAACAATTGATACAAGTAAAAGGCTTGTCATTTAGCTGATTAATGTTACCTTCAGTATCCCAACTTCAGATTTTCTTAGACAGACACTCTGGGAATCACTTCATCCATTCGTCAGAGGGATATCAGCAATATATAACAACCCATTGGGTTCCTTTTAAAATCAGTTCATAATACTAAATGATGAGGTAAGAATATTATCAATTTTATTAATTACAGCTATTTTAATTTGTAATTGCAACACAAGTTACTTTAATAACAAATATTACTTTATACAATATTACTTAAATCAAATGCAATAAGAAATTAAGAAAAAGCTTACTTTTTTTTTAGAATGGAATTGTAAACTGATATTATGCTAAAGGCCTTTCTATTTAAGCAATAGGAACCCCAAGGTGACAATTTATAACAATTTTAGTAATTGCCATATAATTTTCAAAAGGTGAATATCATTTAAAAAAAAAAAAAAAAAAAGCAGCAATTGTCTGTTTTGAGGAGATTCATATTTGTTGAAAGAAAGTATGGATACCTCCTTTTTGTGCACTTAGTTTCATTTTTTAAAAATAATATATTCTTTATTATACATACTTGTTTTTTTTTATTCACATTTCAAAATAGGTAACAGCTGCAAACCGTATGCATCTATTTATCCTCAAATCACAGCGCAAGTTTTTCAGCCATACAGATTACGTCTTACAATGACACACCCACATAGCCTCTAGTTGCCAAACATTCGAGATATTTGTTTATAAATAACTTCTAATGTAGTGTAGTGAATTGTATAAATTTATATTATGTTATGTATATTTAAATTTATTTAATAATGTTGTTATAATGTATTATGAATGTTTATTATAGTTGGAATATAATATGCAAGTATTTGTTTCATATGAATGGGTACTGAAAACAAACAGAAAAACGGCCCTAGCTAAAAGAACCCCTTGTCTACTTTTAATGAAATTTGGCACAGCTCTTGGCAAGGTGTTCAAAATACAATAGGCTCCTAAATTGATTAGGGTATTATGTATATATATATATATATATATATATATATATAATAATATAATATATATAATATAATATAATATATATAATATATATATATATATATATATATATATATATATATATATATATATATATATATATATATATATATATATATATATATATATATATATATATATAATATATATATATACATTAATATTACAGATTTTTTGTGTGTAATATCTGACATACAAAAAATTTTAATTTTTTTTTAGTTTTTCCAGTGTACTTACATTTTGTCACTACCCAGTACAACTAACATTTTTTGTCATAAATCAATTACCTATATTGGATATACTACCACCTCCTTAAGTAGCTGCCTCATGTGTCACTTATCAGAACAGAGAGTAATAAAAAAAAACATCTATCAACCCACAATTTACAAGAAACTTTAAGAAAAATTCTGTTTGAAAACACTAGAATTCTATGTAAACCAAATTAACAAAAACTTCTCACTATAAGAGAGCCCTGTATGTTAAACATCTCACCCCTATAATCAACCTTCAACTTGTTTAACAATGAGAGCATAATTCTTTTAAAAATAGAAAGTCACCCACTTGAATTCCAGCCATGCCCAACACACAGAGGCTCAAAACAAATGCTCCTACTAGTATTCAAAAATCACAAATATCACACAGTCAAAACATGAAGAACTAACAACACCAAAAACAAAACCCTCTTGATGATGATTAAGGAAGTGGCTGAAAGCGCTTGGAACAATGGACAATATTATAAAATGGAATTTTGCCTGGCAACAATAACTACAGTAGTATTAAATAATATTTTAAAAAAACTAAATAGATAAAATAAACTAGATAATAGTGTTTATGAAACAGACATTCTTTTAGTCCTAGAAGTATTTGTACAGGAAGATATAAAGTAATTTTTATTTGAAATAGATTGCTTTATATACAGCTTAAAACAAATGTACAGTCCAAACTAAACACACGTACTAAATCATCAAAGTAGACATGCATACAAAAACAATCATCAAACTAAAAGCACATGTAGCGTCACTCCCAGCATACCAGCAGACATAGCCTTGTGTTCACAGGAATAAAAAAACATGCACAGAAATAAAGCCTGTTAAGTTGTAAATTAAAATCATACAATGTATTTATTTATGTGGACTGGTGTGCGTGCGTGTATATTTTAGTTACAAGTGTTTTAAGGTTGCATAAGATAAAAGGAAGAAGTCACTTTGTATGATAACAAACAATGTCCCGAGGAGAGGAGATAGGAGTCTTTACCTTCCAACAGTTATTTGCAAAGAGACTGGATCCAGTGTCTTTTGGCACAAAATCTGTTTTCAAGCAGGAAATTCTTCTGTTGCATTCTGGGAGAACTATAATTTTTATTTAATTTATTAAAAAAAAAGTTTTAATGTTATTGTTTTATCTTATTTATGATATTCATTATTATTATTATAATAATAATAATAATAATAATAATAATAATTTTATGGGTCTACACAATACACACAGACAGAACAATCAAAACTAACTGCCCAGACATTGTTACTATAGACCGCAAACAAAACAAGTGCCTCCTGATTGATATGTCAGTCCCTACAGACTGCAATGTATCTTTGAGGATTTTCAAAAAGCTGTCAAAATAAAAGGACCTTGAATTCGAAATCTCAAAAATGTGGCACATAGAAACATCAACAATCCCTGTTGTAGGTGGAGCCCTCGGAGTGGTTGGAAAAGATTCCAGTAGACTAATAGAAGGGATTCCTGGATGCCCATGCCTTAAAGAAATGCAAAAAATTGTTCTCACAAGTCCAGCCCACACTTTACGAAGGGCTTTATCTATGTAAAATATTTATTTTTTTTGTCAGTGGAAAATGTCATGATGCCATTTCTAACCTTAGGTCTCTGGGCAGGACCCAGAATGAAATGTGTACACAGCAGAAATCAAAAGAAATAATAATAATAATAATAATAATAATGTCCTTCCACACACAAAAACATCAGATTAAATGCACACACACACAAAAAAAAATCAGAGCTAAAAGCACACACACAAAAGCTAAAACCACAAAAATAAATATAAAAAAAAAGTCACAAAAAACCCCACTTTCTCAGAATTTAAGATGGAACCTTACTAAGCCCTATGCCTTTTCACTTGAGCTAAACTGGCAAATACAGCTTTTTTATTAACATGCCCATATTTTAATATGTTGGATATGAAAAGAAATTGCTTCCAAATCTTCTCCCTATTCCCCAGGGTAGAACCTGATCATCTTACCATTTTATTAATAGATCACTAAAATAACTAAGACTGGCAAAGATATCTCCTGACTCCATTTAAAACAGGCTGGCCGATTAAGCCAAGTGACGAGAGTAAGGTCTGAATAAACAAAGTTGGCAGCAGGTTTCAAAACTGATTGGATCAGACATACTGCTGTTAGAGAAACATTATTCAGTTGTGCTCACACACACAAAATCATTACTTGTATCTTACTGCAAAGTAACGATTAAAAAGCTAGTCTTACAAGCCATTGTGGCTGTAAAACCTTAATAAAGTAACACACCTGTGCCATTTCTATAAATATCTTCATGGTAATTGTTCTGATTAGCTATCTTTTGTAAACCAGCAAGTACATGTCAAAATATTACAAATAAAAGAAATTTAAATACAAACACAAAACATCGCCTGTATAATCACCAAAGTTAAGCAACATCGAACCTGGTCAGTATGTAGATGGGTAACCACTTGAAAATACTGGGTGCTGCAGTGTATGGATAACAGCATGGAATTGGATCTCAGAGAGCAGAGTACCAATTCTAGTTGGGTTTGTTACATTCACTTGAATGCAAAGACACTTGGAAGGGGTAGAAATCCACCTGTTATTATTACCCACCACCCAAAAAAAAAAAAAAAAAAAAAAAAAAAATCCTTACAATCTAAAAATATTTTTTGGCTTTAAATAACATGCAAAGGTTTAATAAGCCATAAAAATATGAATCTATCCCAAAATAATAATTATATATATTATACAGCAAAAAAAAAAAAAAAAAAAATTACCTCAACATAGAGAGTTATTTTTCAACATGTTCTGTACACAGCTATCATCAGCCCCTAAGTATCTGTTTGTGAGTATTGTTTTAAATTTATTTTCAATGCCAGTCCTTCTCTGGTAGCCACCTTGTTAATGAGAATGGGTTTATGTTAGCAATTGGTGGGAGCATAAGATATCTTATCCCAGGGGAAGCAATCTGGGGTTGGAGTTTATTTATGACCTGAACCTTTGTTGTTTGTAGTTTAATATCAGTTCCTACTATGTGGCATTTCTTATACAGCCCCCCCCGAGGGGATTCACAGTAGTTTTTGTAATACAGGTGTCCAATATTATTAATTAGTGATGGAGGATTTAAACTCAAACCTGTTAAGATTAATGTAAATTAATCAAGTTATAGATTTATAAATTGTGGGCAATACCTGAGCACCCAATGGAATAAACCATGCTGTCCAACACACTTATATCCATACATATCTTCATACATACATATATGTGCATTTACATGTCCACACACATCTTCATACATACATATATGTGCATTTACATGTCCATACATATATAAACATA